TTACTTGACAAATTTCCAGTAACATCTTCCGAACTGACTCGGTCGATAATACATGTCCATGTACATCATTGACTCCGCCTCTTTCCCCGCCCCTTCCAGCGTACAGCACATTAACACAACAATCAACCAGCAGCTCCTCTCTCATCTCAATATCACTAAAAGACCAAGCAAGCATTTCAGGTGACACGCCTCCAACAGACACGCCCCATTTCTCCACCTCTTTTCCAGACTCCACCTCAATTCCACTATTCAATAACTCAATTAGGTACTTTGCCAAGCTGTAATGGGCGTCGCCCTCAACACCTTCCTTATAAGGGCATCCGACAAGCCGTGTGACATGATCGACCCACGAAGAGGTCATGTGACTGATAGCGGAGAGAAGAGATGAAGCTAGTTTAATGTGAGAGAGAGAATTTGAGTATCTGGTGAGACAATCTGATATTAGTTCACATGTTAATGGTAACATGTACTGGGAAGTGGAGGGAGAGATGAGGGTTAGAGGAGAAGTGGGCGGGACTATGGTAGGTGTGGCTGAAGTGGGTTGCGGATAAAATTTGACCAGTAAGGTAGAGATAGAGTTTAGACTTTGCTATAAAGAGAGAGAGAGAGAGAGAATTAAAGTTAATGTACATGTACATGTACACGTACTTTTACAGTATCGCTCATTGTTAATCTCTGACACAGGCGATGCGTTAACTCTGATCTCAGTTGATCAAGGTGTGTCATATCGGACTGATATCTCACTGATCTCTTAACGAGCAGATTGATCAACCAAACAATGCAATTGGACACACCCTCCAACTGTACAGCTGGTACGAGAAACAGATCATCAATTAATTCAATAATCTATAAAGAATAGACACAACAGAAAATCAGTAAATACATAATGTCAATTAAATGGAGCCAAAATACTAAATTGGTATAAGTACAAGTACATGTGATAAATGTTACAGTAAATCGTTCTCAAATCATTAATTTTGCCAAATTCTAGCCTTTTCTAAAATCACCAATTACATGTACATGTACATCTGGTAATAAATGTAACTCACAATATTAATTAGATGGCTAATGAAAGGGGTTACCCCACTGGTATCACCTCCATCATTAGTGTCTATACAGTAGGAGGAGCATTCAATGAGGGACATTATCAGACTATTAGTGTCTGATAAAGAACCTTTTGACACCTCTGACGATAAACTGAGGAGAGAGAGAGAGAGGGATGGAAAGACAAATGGTATTTTTGTGTATACACTTACTGTATGTACATGTATAGTAGTCAGTAGAAATAATTTATCTTTTTTAAATGGCCATAACTTGAAACATTTAAATTGGAATCAGTTCAAACTTTCTACACAGCATAAGTACATCAATATGTATCAGAAAATGTAATAAAAATTGGGGTCATTTTAAAGCCATTTTTCCAAAAAAACCATGGGCTATAGTACAGGGATTTTTTCAAAAATTGGCTTATTCTTAAAAATGGCCGTAACTTTAAAAATTCAAGTCAGAATCAGCTCAAACTTTCTACACAGCATAAGGACATGAACATGTATCAGAAAATGTAATAAAAATTGGGGGTCATGTTTTAGCCATTTTTCCGAAAAACTATGGGCTATAGTACAGGGATTTTTTCGAAAATTGGCTTATTCTTAAAAATGGCCATAACTTTAAAAATTTGAGCCGGAATCACTTCAAACTTTCTACACAGCATAAGTACGTCAATATGTATCAGAAAATGTAATAAAAATTGGGAGTCACTTTTGGGCCATTTTTTGGAAAAATCCATGGGCTATAGTACAGGGACTCCCACTAGTTTTTAACATACATGAATACATGTACATTCACTAACCCTGACTTTAATCTTGTAATAAAATTAATTGATAATCCAGTGGTATCACAGTCAGGTACTTTTAGTAATTGACTTAGTAGGGGAAGGAGGCATGGGTAGATGATGCTCCCGTTACCATGGCCACCATTGCCTAGCAACTGCCACACCCCTGGAAGGAGAGCTTTCTGAATGTTCACATGTTGATGCCAACTCTGAAATAAAAAATACAAGTAAATAACTAACTAAATAAATGATAAAATAAATAATAAATGTACATGTACATTGCAGTGGCTTATTGCTAAATTTTTTAAAATTAGTACAGTTAGTACCGTAGGGTGCCTTTTTTTCAAGGGCTGAAAATATTGTGGATTTTGAAATTTTTTGAAGATTTACAAAAATTCTGTGAAAATCAAATTATTACGGTACAAGATGGCAGACGGCATAAATTCGCGAAACTTAAATCAGCAAAATTGATTTTTAGGCAAATTTACAAATTACAAAAAGGCGCCCTACGGTATATAGTAGGTGTATAGTAGTATGTTATGGGAGTTAGTATAATTCACCTACAGCACCAGATGGGTATAAGTTGAAAAACAAACTAGAATAACTTGTAGTGTACATATAGTTTGCGTATAGTGCTGTGTATAGTTAATAGCTATGTGTATAGCTATGTTCGTCAGCTTGTCCATCAATTTAAGACAAGCTATGAACATAAAAATTGTACTCATACATAAGAGAGTGGTTCAGCAGCTATTGTTTATAGTATCATATATAAGTTGCTATAAGGTCAAAGCATAAACATTAGAGTAGTTGCGGTCAAATCAGCTCAAAATGGAGCAGAGTACAGCACACATTGGAGACAACTGAGCTGAAAACTACCTAAAAAGGTCACAAAAAGACTGTCTTAGCAGACTACAATAGGTTCTTCAGTGTTAACAATTAACATACTTGTAAACATAATTATTCTACAACTATATACATTGTATATATAATGCTCCTTTCTCTGACTTCATATAACAAAATGACTAAATTTTCGCCTTTGTGTACCTGTAGCTTCCTCAGAGCATTTATAATACTGTATAAAAAAACTGCCTTGCATTGTAATAAGTGATTGTGAGTCAGTTTAGTTTTAAATGATGAAGCTTGCTTCCATAAGGTTCATTCAAAGCATCGTTATCACACATGATCAGAGACCTTCATTTGTGTACCCATTACTGGTTGTAGTTAGTATTTAGTAGTAATTTTTCTTCACAGTTTAGTAGCAATGCCTAGGAAGTTCAAACTGTCGTGGTGGAAAAACTAGAACAAGGAATACCTCCTTCAACTCTTTGGAAAAAGTAGCAGCTTCAACTTGATGCTGATCTATCCACCTCCAATACTTTAGGAGCAGATTCCCTAACATTCTGGCATCTCCTAGTGTTCAGTTTAAAACTGGGCCGTTTTTAAGGCGTGTCCGAAACCCAAAGCTAATTGCCGTAACAAGGATAGTTACAACGCTGTGGGCTTTTTCTAATCCCATTCCTCTCCTACTCTAATATTTATGGTCAAAGGCACCGCCGGGTGGTATATTACGCATATACATCCCGCCCTTGATATATACC